ACTTCCTTTCTTATTCTCTGGTTTCTGTTCCTCGAATTGGGCTAAATGGTGAAATAGCTCCATCAAAGAATATAGTTCACTGGTAGACAACTAGAACTAGAAGTGCTGATTTTCTCATTTTATTTTTTCACGAGTATGATGCATATCAGTTATAAAGAACCTTTCACCAGTATGATCCATCGGCTTATAAAGAATTAGGACGTAGAAGGCAAAAGAAGATCACGGAGTTAGAGCTGAACAGTGCATACTGATCAAAACAAGATAAACTTACAAGATTCGTAAGAGAATCAGTAATGCAACTTACAAGATAAACTTAAACACATGAATAAGCAAATACCTTCACTTTGTTTAGCTTGAGATACAACAGATGAAGATGCTTCGACGACGCCATCTGAAGGGGGGTCTCGGAGAACCACCGAAACAGAAAACAGTGCAGAGAAGAGCATCAAACAAAGCAGGAAGAACCCCATCAATCGCATCAAATTAAAACCAGATTTCTTGTCAGGATCCCTCGAATAGTTGTCGCGGCTGTCCGAATCTGAGAGCTTTTCTGCATCATCATACGGATTCCTATTGATCCTCTTCATTGTACCCAGAAATCATCATCTGGGTAATGCCCACCCAGCTCAGCTCAAACCAAATGATCGAGGTCGGGCAGATCACAGGATGGTAGTGTTGGGAATGACGAGTGAAGCCCAGACCGTACGATAGTGGTGCGCAGAGTTAGATCAGAAAGAGCGTGTCCGTGTCGGTTATAAGAACCGAGAAGCACTAAATAGTTATTACCCTTGTCCTTGCGGTTATGCCTCGCTCATGGTAAAACAACTCAGAGACACGCTCTGGAGAAGAAAAGGGAATTCACAATTTTGTTACTGTTCTTGTTTGCCCCCTTTTCCAAAGGAGGATCGCGTGGTTATGGCGGCAACCAGTGGGTGCTCTACACGTTCCCGGGTCATCTTGGGTTTTTTCGGCCTGAGGTCATCTTGGGTTGGATCTTAATATTTTATTATATATATATAGCTGGCATCCAAAGTTTGTCCATTCAATAAGTCCGCGTCTTTCCACTGGCGCAACTTTTGTATCATAGTGCTTTTTCGTATTCACAGCATGTTCGTCTCGTATTTTTGTTATATACTAGTAAATTCACATAATTATTTTGAGTCCACTATTTTATTGCGCGAGCCATGTGAATAAGGAGAGATTTAATTTTTCTTCACTAGAAACTATTGATTTACTGCCACCGGAAAAGCAATGATATTCAATGTTACCTTCGCTCAATATAGAACCCAATTTAGCATATATTACATTATCTCTTTGAAATATTTATATCTATCATTAGACTAATAAATTAGTTTGAAAATATTTTAAAATAATTTATCTAATTTTTAAAAATTTTCTAAATTAATTAATCTTGCATTAAAAAACGGCATAGCATATCCATTCAGCTACTGGATGGCCGTGGAGAGCAGAAGGTGGGAATCAGCTTTGTTGTGAAATCTATATCATTTAGATTCAGTTTTAATGATATAGATTTTCCATATTAAATTTAAATAATTAATACTCCTCTGGTCCTTAATATAGGATCCAATTATTGAGTTGGTTTTAATTCTAAATATAAGATCCACTTGTCATATTTATCAATTTTTTCTAAATTACCTTTATGAATACTCCTTCAACCATAATCAAATAGAAGAGGAAGATGGGTATTAAGAAAGATGATTATGGTATTTTAGGAAAAATGTGTCACATTTTATAATTAACTAACTTACCTAACTCCTTAATCTAATCAAATTAGTTAAATGGGTCCTATATTAAGGACCGGAGGAGTATTTGATAAATATCATGATAATCGTTGGCATCAAAACTGATCCCGGTGGCTAGTATATATTCCACTCCAACCCGTCCGGATAGCAACAAGACTGACATTAGAGATAGGATACGAATATATACACACACGTAAACAAAAAGACATTTTAGTCAAGATGGTACAAAAATGTAGATTTTGTTACGAAAATATACCAAAATTATAATATAAAGTATGTAGAAAAAAACGGAAACAAAAAGAATGAGGGAAATATCTTGTATTATTTTTATTTCTTCTGACTTACAGTACAAATGACATGCCTAGTTATAGGCATAATTTTGCAGATTACACGTCTATATAAATGGTAAATAATGAATCATGAATGTAAATGAGAGATGAGTTACAAGATTAATGGAATAGTAAAAGTAGTGGGGAGTTACTAATTAGAAAAAGGGAGATAAAAATGAACATCCACATCCAAAGCGGCTAAGCCATAATATTCATAACAGATTTAGCTTTTGTTTTTCTCTTCCACCTTCTCTGCAAATCACTCAAAATTTCCTAACTTAAAGGGAAAAGTTAGGAGAGAAATGGAGGGAAATTTTTTTAAATTTCAAAATGATTGCCCTCCCCCCATAAATGTAGCGTACACATGTACATAGCTAACGAGGGCATCTCTTTCTTTCCTTTCCTTCACTTTCACTCAAATCAAAGGCTAAAGCTTTCATCTTTGACAGCATATTGTGTTTATTCTATTCCACTTGTTCCATGGCTGGGTCACACTAAAGATCGACCCGAAGTTGCATTCTTCGACGTTGAGACAACTATGCCCGCCGGTGAGCAGGCTTTTGCCATTTTGGAGTTTAATTTGGAGCCATATTGGTTTGCCCCAAGAAGCTGAAGGACCTCCAAAACCACTCCAACTTGGTCGGACCCGCCGATCCTTCCCTCATCTCTCCCAGCTCAGTCCGCTGCAACGGCGTTACTCCCCATATACCGTCGCCTCCTTTCCTACTTTCGCCGATACGGTTTATGAACTTCTTCATGGTTTGTTTCTTACGTTCTATGCCTTATTGTAATCGGTAAATGGAGATAAACCAAAGACAAAGTGGCAGATTGCACTTATAATTAAGTTCTTGTGAATTTTGTACAGAACGGGTCCGGGTGGGCCATAACATCAAAGACTTGACAGTGCTCGCATTAGAGAGACATTTGCTAAGCACGTTGTGTTTACCTCTCTGTTAGATGAACAAGACGAAGAATAATAATAAAAACAAAAACTCCATTTTGGAAAACTTCAGCATATATCATTTAGAGAATATGTTTCGTCCATTTTTGCCCCCTCTAGAATCGCTAAAACACTAGCTTTATATACGTTAGCTTTAAGGTATAACGCATTCATATGTTCCCGGCCACTTGGAGATGGCTAGTCTTGCAGCATATTTTGAGATTGGACAACAGGCACATATAGGTAACTGTGCTCATCGATGGAATATGTTGTTTTATTGTGAGCCGAGTATTATAATAGTTTCTTTCTGCTTAATTTTTCTGCAACAAATCTCCAGGGCCTTAGCCGATGTTCGGATGAATGTGGAAGTTATCAAAAGCTGTGCAACTGTTCTTTTCTGATGGTAAAATAATTTTGCTTTGAATTTGAAGCATTTCATCATGTGTACCATATTACTTGTTGGAGGACAATGAGCCATATATAAGCCATGGCCCATTTTTATATACTAACATCTAATTGTATGGATTCTAACTTTATAGTCTCTCCATATCCTTACAGGAATCTAAGTTTCCACGTGTACTCACTGTGAATAGTAGGGTTCTCCAAATGCTACTATTAGTAGTGGTAATGGAAAATCTTTAATACCAGATCGCAGCTCATCAGTTACGATCGAAAAATGGAAACCAGTGAGAATCAGTATTGTAAGGAGAGAAAGCGCCCAGAAACTTCCATTACAACATGCAGCTCAGAAGTCTCCGAACCGAACATACGTTAGATGGATGCTAATAACACAGTTCAGCAGTTAGCCTTCATCATTTTAACATGATGTCTTGTTTTTCCTTGAGACCTAAAACTTATTTATAGGTCACCTTTTGTATATAAGCTTTTTATGGTCCTATTTATGTCACAAAAATCTATGGAGCAATTAATATTTTAGTCAATAACACTCTTGATATTAATAACAAGCATATTTATGGGTTCAAGACGGATTAGAGAAGATCTGATGAGCAAGATTGAGTTAGACTTTATTATAGTTAATTTAACTCAAATTAATGTTGAAGAATTGAGATAATTTTAAGAACACTAACAAAATTTAAACAATTCTCTCAGTTTCAACGAATTAGGTAGAAGTGACTTATAGATAAGTGCCGATGGAGCAAGTACTAATTTCTTTGATATATGATCATTGATCAAGATCTTTTTCAACTTAAACATTTACTAACTACTTTCAATTACATTATTGTAGCATCGTACATTTGGGAAAATTGTATAATGGATTTCTGGAGCCCATATGTATTTCAATATTTTCTTAGCACCCAATGTCTACACTAACCCTCTACTGACAGCCCTCATTGCTCCAGCAATCATATATGTGGATTATAAAAAAATTGCACCGCGTTTTAGATTTTTTTTTATTTTGATTATTCCTCCACTAAATGCAAAGGGTATATATGTAGTCACACCCTAACCCCTCGAGGAATCGAGGGTAAAAAGTAGTATATACACATGTAAAAAAAATGCTAATAGATTAGTCGGCTCCAGATCATACGTCGCGGGATATGGACGGAATCTATAAGGCGACTCCAAAAGGCTAATAGTAAGCCCGTTCCATTCTGTAAAAAGTCACATAATGAATCTAATTGTAAATAATAATCATATATGCCGAATGATAGAATAAATTTCCCGACTAGTTCATCTATTAGGAACAGAATTTTAGTTTTGGTTTTGATGATCACGTGTAAAATATACTTTTGATATACCATGTTCATCAATCATATTGTACGCGGTGAGTGTAAAAAATTATCTCCCCTGGCTGGCCAAACTGAGTCTGTTTAAGCCTCGAAGAAGAAAACCAACGTTATTAAAAAACAACGTAAACTTTTTTCGTGTTCACTTGGAAGCATTCATCTTGGAAGGCAGATTCTTTGTTCTGTTCTGCTTTGCTTCTTCCATTGACATCGTCTTAAAATGGGTCAAACTGGAGAACGATCCGAAATTGTATTCTTCGACGTGGAAACCACCATCCCCACCAGAGCCGGCCGGGGTTATGCCCTTTTGGAGTTTGGGGCCATGTTGGTTTGCCCCAAGAAGCTAAAGGAGCTCCATGCTTACTCCACATTGATCCGACCCGCCAACCCTTCCCTCATCTCCCCCGCCTCTGTACGCTGCAACGGCATAACTCGCGAGGCTGTTGCCTCCGCTCCTACTTTCGCCGACATCGCCGACACGGTTTATGAACTTCTTCATGGTTTGACCCTTCTGTTTTTTCTTCTTTGCCTTGTGATGGGGAAACATATATGCAGTTATGTATAATTCGTTTTTGTTGCAGAACGGGTTTGGGCGGGCCATAACATCTTAAGATTTGACTGTCTTCGCATCAGAGAGGCATTTACTGAGATTAATCGGCCGCCACCATCACCTAAAAGGACGATAGACTCATTTCCTGTGTTGACTCAGACGTTTGGCAGGAGAGCTGGAAACATGAAGGTATTGTTCCTATAAATTAGATTCCTATTTTTTGCCATTGCAAAAGTTCAGCGCGCGCACACAGCTATTGCATTTCAGTCTCACGAAGCATAAACGTATCTCTTGAGTTACTTAATATAATGGCTAGTTGACTAATTTGAGCAGATTAAGAAGATTAGTGAAATTAATTATTTGGAATAATGTATATTTTCTTACTTAAAATATCTTTACTAATTAATTGTTATTTGATTAAATATTGAGAAAATTTCATTTAAGGACCGTTGCAGTGAATTAGTATCCGTCAACGCCCAAAACATTCTAAAATTTTAGTTAACCCCCTTTGGGCCAAAATGAAATTAAAATTAAGAGTAAAATTATAATAATATCCTTCATTTTAATTTTTTTAAAAATAAATATTAATTGTCACCGGAGTCCCGGTCATCGGAGGTCAGAGGTTCGACCACCGGAGGATTTTTTTAAAAATAAGCCAAGGGAAGATTTGAACTCATGACCTCTTAGTACACCAAAAGTGATGTGACTGCCAAGCCAACTAAATCATTTAGTCATGTGATGCAAAAAAAATATATATAATAAAACAAACACAAGTATTCAAGTGTAAGTGGATAAGTGAAATTCGATAATTTACAAGTGAAATTCAGCAATTTATAACAAAAATTTAGCAATTTACAACTAATATGATAGAATTTACAACCCTAAATGCAAGTGTTTAAGTATGAATGAGCAAGTGAAATTTAAAGATTTACAATAACAGTTCATGAATTTACAACACAAATTTGGTGATTCACAAGAAACAAAGAGAAATTTACAGCCCAAAATGTAAATGTTTGAGTATGAATGAACAAGTAAAATTTAGCGATTTAGAACAAAAATTCAGATATTTACAACCCAAATTCAATGGTTTATAAAAAATCATGAATACTTGTATTTGAAGTTATGAATTCTCTTATTAGTTTTGTAATGTTTATGTTTCTTATGAATCACTGAATTTGGGTTGTAAATAGCTGAATTTCACTTGTTCATTCACACTCAAACACTCACATTTTGGTTTGTGAATTTCCTTTTGTTTCTTGTGAATCATCAAATTTGGGTTGTAAATTTATGAACTTTTGTTATAAATTTTTAAATTTCACTTGCTCATTTACACTTAAACACTCGTATTTAAGGTTGTGAAGTACATTATATTACTTGTAAATTGCTAAATTTTTGTTATAAATTACTGAATTTCACTTGTTCATTTACACTTGAACACTTGCGTTTGTTTTATTATATATACTTTTTTGCATCACATGACTAAATGATTTAGTTAGCTTGGTGGTTACATCACTTTTGGTGTGCCAAGAGATCATTGGTTCAAATCTTCCCTCGGCCACCTTATTTTAAAAAATATATATCTTCCGGTCATTGGAGCTACAGTGACGGCCACCAAACTATGACCTCTGGCGGCGGCCATCTGAGTGCCGGTGGCTGGAACTCTGACGACAATTAATATTTATTTTTAAAAAAATAAAAATAAGGGATATTATTATAATCTTACTCTTAATTTTAATTTCATTTTGGTCCAAATGGGTTTGACTAAAATTTTGGAACGTTTTGGGGGTGGACTGATATTAATTTGCTACAGCAGTCCTTAAATAAAATTTTTCCTTAGATATTTAATATATGTAACTATTATGAAGATTACTTTAAAAAAATAGATAAATATGATAGATAAATTAGAGTGAATTAAGGTCTTATATTTACAATTAAATTAAAAGTAAAACTAACTCTTATATTAAAGATTAGAGGTAGTACATTACAATGTAATTTTATATACGTTGCATTCATGTATACACACACGTATATGTCTCTTCACTGCAGATGGCTACTCTTGCAGCATACTTTGGGCTTGGGCAGCAGACGCATAGGTAGCTTTACTAATGGATGGAACTTTTAGTAATTTTTTATGTTATATACTTCCTAATAAGACGGCTATAATTAATAGTTTATCTTTTTGTTTGGCTATTATTCTGCAACAAAATAATCTTCAGGAGCTTAGATGATGTTCGTATGAATCTGGAAGTTATCAAGCACTGTGCAACAGTCCTCTTCTTGGTAAAATTTTACTTCAAAGAATCTCATTATTTAACGTTATCCTTGTTCCACGGCAATGAGCCATAGGCCGTTTAGCCCGTTTCTATCCTAAGGGTTTATGACTGTTTTTCTTTGGTTAGGACTATATATAATATCATTCTGGTTCTTAATATAAGACCCAATTAGAAGATTGATTTTGCTCATAAATATAATACCTATTTCTCATATTTACCAATTCTTTCCTAAATTACCCCTGTTAAATAATTAAATACAACAATAATACTTATTACTCATTAATAATATACTTATGTATTTTACAAAATGAGTGAGTAGTTATTACTCACTGCTTCCATACATACATCAATTCTACTGTTTTATATTTTTAATAAAATAATTTAAAACATTTTTTGAAGAAGTTTTAACTGAGGGTATTTTGGAAAACATATGCTACATTTATGATTATTACCAAATTTAACTAATTTTCTTAATTCAATCAAAATAATTAAATAGGTCCTATATTAACGACTATAGAAGTAACTTAAAACATCATGTATCAAAATGTCAGTCTTCAAGAATCTTTAATATTTGCCTAAAAACATGATACTGTTTTAGAAAGTGTCTTGACATATAATGCGCCTAGTTATGAGATTGTGTTTTTCTCATTTGGGTTATTTGGTAATTGGCAATGTAACATCATTCTGTAGCTACCTAGCTTGAGCCAGATGAAATATAGTTGGTGAGCTAGCATTGTTTCATTGTAATTAGTTAAATATGATAATTCTTTGTTTTTATTTATTTTTGAAAACTTACTCGTCAAATCATGGATAATCTGACTGACTCTGTTATAATCCCTCTCCATCCATATAGGAATCTTCAGATGATTTCACAGTGAATAATTGTGTTTCTCCAAACAGCGCTAAAAGATATCGTAGCGTTCAAAAATCATTGCCAGATAGAAGATGGTCAGATATGAAAAAGAAACCCATATCGCCTATTGCAAATCAACGTGAGGAGGGAAAACGTCCAACATTTCCTATTCAAATGTGCAGCTCAAAAGCCTATGAATCAAATGCGGTATAGTGTGCGCGCGCGCGCGAGTATATATTTCAACATCTCATTTTAACATGATGTTGAGTTATATTACGACATGGTTGCGTTACTTTTTCTCATTCAGGTTATTTGGTAATTGCCAATATGACATCATTTTACAACTAATAATGCCAGCTGCTAACAACAATAATTTGCCTAACTTCGTTTCACTTTGATTGGTTAAATGTGCCTATTCTTGTTATTGGTTCAATTCACTGAGTAATGGATTGCTCTTGTTTTTTCCCCCCTCTCACAATCTATATATGCAGGAATCATGTCTTCCAGATGTACTCGAAAGTCGGGTTTCTCCAAAGGTTGCTGCAAGAAGAAGTCGCAGTGTGGGAAAATCTTTACAAGACAAGGGCTTATCAGATATGGAAACAGCATCCATGTTAGTATCACCCATTGCAACTGAATCTGACGAAGAAAAACGGCCAACGACATCTTCTCCTGTTGCAACGTGCAGCTCAGAAGGCTCTAAATTAGCTAATCCAGTTCAGTATCCTCAACCACAAACGACTTGTCCAGCTGCTTTATCTGAGGCCAGTTGGAGCACCGGCAGTGATTTTGCTGTTTTGAAGCCTGATAAATCCTGATTTTAATATATTATTTGATATCTTTTTGGAGATATTTATCAATTAAAGTGGGATAAATTGCATTGATTGTGGGTATTTTGAATCAAATACTGATTGCATGAAATTAGAAATTTAAAAGAAAATCTTATCATATTTTATTTCTTTTTAAATAATTGATTTTGAGCTTTGTGATAGTATCTCAATTTATCTTTTACAGGTCTCAGAAAAAAAAATAAACATAGAAGGAAAGCTGAAAACAAAAGGAAAAGAATTAAAAAAAAAAAGAAAAGAAAAAGACGCAACAGAAGAAAGGCATGGATTTTGGAAAGATATTAGGTTATATATTAAACCCATCAATTGCAAGACGGAAGATACACACAGTCACGCCGCACGCATCCTCCTTCTCTCCATTCAAGACCCAAGCTGCAACATCAATTCCACTCACACACACGGCCAATACCCTTCCCTTCACGCATACACCACCGCGGCAACACTTCAATTTCAATCTTCCAAATTCATCTTTCTTCTCCTCCATCTATCCTCCATGACTACTGAATCTTTGACACGAGTTGTAGCTTGGTTCAAGACTATGAGAGGCTGGGTTCGCTGTGCTCTTTGGGATTGAATTCAATGACTTGAGTTTGGGAGCTACAAAGGGGAGTTTAATTCTAGTCCTTAGTTTAGACTATCTTGTTGATAATTTCTGGTTTGAAGTTTGTTATATTTGGTTTAAAGCTAAGAATTGCTAGTTGTAATTCTTGGTTTGGATTGGAATTGCTGAGATTTGGATTGGTATTTATAAGTTTGAGTACTTGGTTTATACATATATTTATGTTTATGCCTTTGTTAATTCATTGTTAGTGTGATTTTTATGCGAGTTGTATAGAAATTATGCTTGAAGTGAATTTAACAAGTAATTAATGTTCTAGTTGAGTATTAATTTAAAAGGAATAACTTATATAAACCAGTCTTAACCACTTAAGTTACTCCCATATCATTAAACAAGCTAGGATAGTCATTGATTCATTCCTCAAGAGCATTCTTGTTATTGATTTCTTACAATTCAAATTTGCATTGTTCATTCTTTCTTAAAAATATCAAAAAAAGTAGTTTAGATTTATTTCTTACTCTCTTAATTAGTTTTATTAATTGAAAAATCCTTTTTCAATCCCTCCTTTCAATTCTTTGTCACTTAGTTAACTAAAGAATTAATAAAAAGCTCCTCAAGAGACTCGACCCGAGTTGTGCTTTACTGCATAATTTGGTTTTATTTTTTATTTAACCCAAGACGACTAAAAAGGTTTCAAAATCAAAGCCCATAAAGTTTCATCTCTAGCCTCACCACATCTCTTTTTACATCATATCATGGCAGTAAAAGGATACAACTATTGCACAATGGTTTCCCTTTTGAGCTTTCTTATGCTGATCTCAGAATAAGGTTTGGAATAAACGGCAGGTTTTGTGATAAAGCAGGCCGACCAAAGTTGAATATTGTGATTGATGCATCACAAAGCTTATGTGAGGTTCTTGAAGCTTGTGATTCCATCTCTCTATGTTCATTTTTGGACTCAGGAAGTAGCTCTGAGTGGAAGCCACTATTGATTACCAGAAAAGAGGGCTCCTTCAATTATTCTACTGTGAGGTTACAGTAAGTTCTATAGCCTACAACGCCTACAACACCTACAATATATATATACATATATCCTTTTCATTATTAATACTGATCTCACGCATGCATGCCTTCATTTCATCAAGAACAATAATGGATAACGAATAACTAATACTATCTAAAGAATATTGGTCGTGATCGCTTTTTGCCTTCTTTGCATTGAGAAACAGATGAAGCATAAGGAAGAAATTAATGAAGGCTGTGGAAATCTCCCAGCTTGAGAATATTACTAAGGTTAGTAAATATTGGCATTATTACAGGATTCCTATATCACTATGTACTGGGAAAACCGCCATACTTGCAGCTGACGTATACAAGAAAGAATCATCGTCGGGCACTGTTCAGAGCTTGCGCTTCAATAAGGTTGATATTAGGGAGCTCGGTTCGTTGTTGATGCCTGGGAACCTTGTGGACGCAATCTTCTGCTTAGATCAATATGAGTATCAGCAGAGTGCAGGGATTAGATTGGTTGCTAAGAAGTTGATCTTTCATGTGTAGAAGGAACGTGTACGTGTTTTAATTTGGCTAGGCGACACATGAATGCCAAAATAATTAAAATTATTATCAAATCATATTATTATTATGTATAAAATGACTGAGTTATTGTAAAATTAATTAATTCCAATGATAATTAACTTCAATGTCTTATAATCCTTGGAGCTTGCCTGCATGTAATTAAGACGGAATATTTCAGTGATAAATTTTGAGAGAAAAATCTCAAATAGTTGGCGCTTGCATAGCAAATCAATGTAATTAATCACAAAGATAATCTTAATGGAGCCCAGGAATCTCTTCAAGTCAAACTCTACTTTTATACGCGTAATAGATAGATAATAGGTAGGTTGTTATATTATCAGCGAGTCAATTATATTAATTATATACTGTATCAAAGGAGACAAATTTACTAGCCACCGAACAGAAGAAAGAAACAAATAAAAGGGGAAGGGAAGACTTAATGGCCAACAATCATCTCTAAGAAGTAGAGGAGCCACGTTAAAGATTATTGTCCTGACCTTTATGCACGAGCTGTTCAAAGCAGACCGGTGTATTGCTTTTCATCTTTTCTATTTCCTCCTCGGCTTGTTGTGAGACTCTCTCTTCGATTTTTTTGCTTTTAAACTTTTGTTAAATATTACTCATTTTACTCTAAATATAAGACTTACTCTTCCGGTCTTAACATATGACCTCTTTTATAGTGTATATATGGGTCTTAGGATCGGAGCAGTATTTGTAATACAAAATGAGTAGTACTGGTTGAACTTTTTTTACATCATCAACGATCACTGTGTCCAAAGCAAGTTGTAGATCCTTCATGACCAAGCAATCTGCTCCGACGTGTTCTACAGAAGCTTTGTCTTCATAATTAAGCAAATTCCTTGAATTTATCAAAGCCTCCACCACTAATTCTGCCCTTCACTCCACAATTTCCGAGCCTGCATTCATCATCGTCGATGGATCACGCTGAAGATCCACCCCCCATTGTATTTTTCGACGTTGAAACCATCTACTCCACTTCTGTCATCGTGGAGTTCGGAGCCATCTTGGTTTGCCCCAAGACACTCAAGGAGCTCCGACAACCCTACTCCACCTTGGTCCGACCCGCCGACCCTTCCCTCATCCCCGCCGTCTTCCAGCGTAGCAACGGAATTAATCGTGATGCTCTTGCTGTTGCTCCTACTTTCGCCCACATCGCGATACGATTTACGAGCTTCTTCATGGTTTGCCTCTTCTCTGTGTTCCTTTGCCTTTTCATGGCCAGAAAGGAGAAAAAAAAAGAGGCATGATGCGGCAAATTGCAATTACAATTCTTCTTTAATTTTTGTTTTTGTTGCAGAAAGGATTTGGGCGGGTCATAACATCTCAAGATTCGACTGTGTTCACATCAGAAAGGCATTTACTGAGATGAATCGGCCACCGCCGGAGCCGAGAGCTATCATTGACTCGCTGCCTTTGTTGACTGAACGTTTGGAAGGAGAGCTGGTGACATGAAGCATCCTTCCTATGTTTATGTATATTTTATAGAGAATATATTTTAGAAAAGTTTCGCCCATTTTTTTAAAAAAGGAATATGTTTTAAATAATATATAATCGCACTATCAGTTGCTCTCAATAATTTACAACTAAGATTCTCACATTTAAAATTGTCTGAATCAAGTATTTATAACTCATTTTTCTTAAATGATGTAATACTCCCTCTCGTTAAACTTCTATATCAGTCAAGTTTTTTTTGTTATTATCTTCTTTTTCATCAAATTAACACCAATAACAGTAAGCCTTATCTCATTAGGCGGGGTCAGCTATATGATTACACAATAATGATGCTAATGTGTCCTATCAACAACCAAATTTTTAGATATGTTGTTGACTAAGAGGTCCCGTTTAATGACCTTATTGAACGTTCTTCTAAGTCTTCCTCTACCCTTTTTCCACCAAACTAGATTAAAAAAGAAAAATGTATACTATCCCATAGTTTGGCTTTGTCTGATTAGTAAGCTTCAAGTTTTCCTATACATGTTAATTATTGTAGATGGCCAGTCTTGCGGCATATTTTGGTCTTGGTCAACAGAAACACAGGTAACTGATTAACTGTGATAAACGATGGAATTTTATGTGATGTTTTCTTGTAAGCCAGCTACAGTAATTTCTTTTTGCTTATTATTTTCTGCATTTATTCGATCTTCAGGAGCTTAGATGATGTTCGAATGAATCTCGAAGTGATCAAAGACTGTGCAACTGTTATGTTCTTGGTACAATCTCTTCCATTTGAAGCATTTTCCACACACACACACATATGTATATATAATGCTCCCTCCGATGCTTTATATATGAGAAAATTTAGGGAATATTCTCTTGGTCTTAAATAATATAAGAGATTAACTTTCATTAGATAAAAGTTTCCCTCAAACTATTCGATCATTAAAAGTAAATTGACTTTATGGGGGTGTCACTAATTATTTGGTACAAGTTTAAATTTAATTGAGGCTTTTTGGAAACAGAACTACCATTTGTAACATATTTATTAGGAATGATAAATGCTTTCAACTATTTGTTTTAATTTTGTTTCTTATATATATATATATATATTTATATATAAATAGAAACAGCGAGGGTATCTTAGAACCGTCATATGTCAGATTTATATCAGCGTACAAGAATGTAATTTATTGGCTAAAAAATTGATGCTCCATTTTGTCTAGGAATATGGTACTCAATTTTCAAATGCTTGTATCCTTTTATAATATCTTGTTCAAAATTATATTACAACATTGTTTATAAAATATTTTCATATAATATTTTCATATTTACCCCTATTTAATGATTTCTCCAATTTCTAATAATAAATACGACTGTA